AGTTTATCCTACTTAGAGTTCACTGAACTTCCTAGATGTGCAGATTCATGTTTTTCATCAAATTTAGGAACTTTTCAGGCATTATTTTTTCAGATATTCTTTCTGCCCCTTTCTCTTCTCTGTTCCTGAGAATTATGCATAGGTTGGTATGCTTACTGGTGTCCTACAGGCCTTTCATTTTTAATGTTGTGATTTTGGAAATCAGATGCCAGGTTTTGTTGTTGCTGCTTGTAGTAGTTGAACTCGTGTAGTGGTTTTTCTGAACTTGTTCTGTCTAGTCTGTAATGTCATGTGTAGCCACTAAAGTTCCTATGCTCAGCTGATGATCGGACAGAGATTTTCTTAAATGCCTAAAATCCATAAACTTCCCAGTCTTTCCCAAATAGCTCTGTGTACTTGTTGGGGCATATGTCTTTCAGCACTAAAGCCCCCTGTTTGCAACTGTCTGAGGCTCCACTTCCCTTTGTGCAGAGCCTCAAGGCCAGCCAGAGGTAAGCATTTGATGCTTTTTCAGGTCTTTCATGAGCCTGTGCACACCCTATTTATGTTTGTGACCTTCTATATTCCAGAAATATGTAGGGCTTTTGAACATCCCTGTGGACATTGTATTCCCCAGCTCTTCCTTTTAAGCTTTTTGGTTACTCTATTATCAGGTGCAGCTGTTATCCATTGCCCCCGGCAGCTCTGAAATTACAACTTGCCTGCAACTGCCTTCAGCAAACATCCTCAGGGCATAGACCATTGGCCCCAGGCAAGCTGAGTGAGCTTTGTAAGAGGGGTCTTCCAGGGAGCCCTCAGACAAGTTAAATCATGGCAATTATTTGCAAGGAAGGTGTTCTGCTCCCTCTACAGGATTATGTCTCCCTGCTCCATTCTACCAGGAATGTGGGCTGTAATTTCCAGGTTACCACTGGGCTGGAGAGTAGACTTAACCAGAACACCGCAAAACTCACTGTTCTTACCGAGATTCAGTTTTCTTTAATAAACACTGTCGGGATGCTGCACTCCTGTGATTAACTTCCAGAGTTCTGAAAAAGTTGACTCCCACAACTTCTGCTAGTCTTTTCCTTGCTTTTAGAGGGGGAAGGGGATGCAGATTTTCCGAGGTCCTTACTCCTCCATTCTCAATGAAGGCCGACCGTAATTTTTTGAGGGACCCTTGGCTGTCATAGTCACGGCTCCTGCATCTGACAGTTTCTGGGTAATAATAAGTGCCTAATAAATCCTTGTCAAACCCCTGCTCAGCCTGGAGAACCGCCACCACAACCCACGCGTGTGGGCCGGGCCGGGTGGGGGACAGCAGCCCGGAGGCCCCAGCCTTCCGGCACTGCTCACGCTCCACCGGAGTGGGGACCCTGACCGGGGCGAAAGAGACCGCGGCAGCGGGCCGCGAGACCCCCACCCCACCTTGCTGATTGGCCCCGGCAGGCCGCCCCTTCGCTCTGGGGGTCTGTAGGCGCTGCGACACGGATGGCCACCGCGCCAGGTCTGGAAATATTGCTGGACGAAAGTGAGCGATGGCCTCGAAGATGCCGTGGACGCCGGACTGAGGGGCCCGAGCGTAAAGGACTAAGCACCGCCGAGGCCGGAAGAACCGCGTCCGGGCAGCGGACAGGCCGAGACAGCAGGTGCCGCCCGCAGGAAGACACCATGGGTTCCCACCCTACTTCCGGTTTCCACGACTACCTGAAGGACAGGCCCCGGCCCGCCCCTGCCCTCCCAGGCTCTCGCGACGTTTGGGCTCCCGTGGCGCCGCAGGGGCCGACGGGAGCAGCGGCCGCGCTGAAGAGGGCCGACATGGCGGCGGCGGCGGCTTCGCTTCGCGGGGCGGTGCTGGGCCCGCGGGGCGCGGGGCTGCCGGGCGCGCGGGCCCGGAGTTTGCTGTGCGGCGCGCGGCCCTGCCAGCTCCCGCTGCGGACGCCACAGGTGAGCGCTGGCCGCGGCCCCGGCCGCCGTGTGGCCCCGCAGCCCCTGAAGGTCACGGCGGGGAGGCTCTGGGCGCGGGCCCGGCAGCGAGGGAGCGGCCTCCGCCACCCGGCGCCCCCGCCGGACCTCCGCCGCCTGCCGATATGGGGCGCCGGGGAGCAGGACCAGGCGCCCACTCCCCCGACCAGAGGAGGCGCCGGGTACCGAGCGTGGGGGGCGGCGGGGCGGGCTCGCTGCCGGCTCGGGGCCGGGGGCTTTCTCCGGGGGGCGCGCCCAGGCCCGCTCCCGCTCCGGCCTTCCAGACGGCCTGCGTCCTGAAGTGACCTCAGCCTGACCTCGGACCGCGGCTTGTGACCTTGGCCTGCCCCGGCACCCTTGCTTTACATCGACCTCATCCCCAGCCCCGGATCCAAAACCATGCCTTGCGCCCCCTCCTCGGGGCCGAATCACGGTCGAGGAGCCGGCAGTGGGCTGGAGCGGGGTGGGCAGTGGTGCTCCGCAGGAGCTGGCGGGTGCGGGTGGATGGGTGGGGAGAGGCAGGCGCTGAGAGTCAGATCCCCAGGTAGGGCCGGGTGGTGTTCTGGCAGGCGCTGAGCGGGGCTCTTGCAGGCAGTGTCCTTGTCGTCGAAGGCCGGTCTGTCCCGGGGCCGGAAAGTGATGCTCTCAGCGTTGGGCATGCTGGCGGCAGGGGGTGCAGGGCTAGCCGTGGCTCTGCATTCGGCCGTGAGCGCCAGTGACCTGGAGCTGCACCCCCCCAGCTATCCGTGGTCCCACCGTGGCTTCCTGTCTTCCCTGGACCACACCAGGTGTGCCGCCGGCTGACTGGGGTGGTTTCTGGGCGGTCTGGTGGGGCGGAGGCCCTGGCGCCCCTAACCCTATCCCTTTCTTTAGTATCCGGAGGGGTTTCCAGGTGTATAAGCAGGTGTGCTCCTCCTGCCACAGCATGGACTACGTGGCCTACCGCCACCTGGTGGGTGTCTGCTACACAGAAGATGAAGCTAAGGCGCTCGCAGAAGAGGTGTGGGCCTGGGGATGAGGAGGACCCCGGGGATTGGGGCTCCGGCTGCGGTGGACGGCAGGGCTGTGACGGGGCTCTTGGTGGCAGGTGGAGGTTCAGGACGGCCCCAACGAGGATGGGGAGATGTTCATGCGGCCAGGGAAGCTGTCTGACTACTTCCCCAAGCCCTACCCCAACCCTGAGGCCGCTCGAGCAGCCAACAACGGAGCACTGCCCCCTGACCTCAGCTACATCGTGCGAGCTAGGTACGCTGGCTGCCTGCAGGGCGGTGTGGGGAGGGGGCAGGAAAGTCCACCTTGTGCCAGGGCTGAGGAGGCATGGATCTGGTCCCAGGCACGGTGGTGAGGACTACGTCTTCTCCCTGCTAACCGGCTACTGCGAGCCGCCCACCGGTGTGTCATTGCGAGAAGGTCTCTATTTCAACCCCTACTTTCCTGGCCAGGCCATCGGCATGGCTCCTCCCATCTACACTGAGGTCTTGGAGTATGACGATGGTGAGCAGCCCCCACCCTGGGGGTGGACAAGCCGGGTCTTCCTTTTTCCACTGCCAGGGATGCTTTCTGTGTCATGCACAGAAAGAGGTCGTGCACTCTTCTTGGCTCCAGCACCGAGCCAGCTTACGGGCAGCCTTCGCAACCCCGTCTAGCCCAGGCCCCTGCGTGCTGGGGGGAGGGGGGGTCCCATTGGTTTTGAAGCCTTGGTCTGGACCCCATCTCAGCTGCATGGAGATTGCTCTAGGGCTGTACCAGGTTGGGGAGGGACCCCCAAGGGCAGCCCTTAACACTTATTCTTGGCTCAGGCACCCCAGCTACCATGTCCCAGGTAGCCAAGGATGTGTGTACCTTCCTGCGCTGGGCATCCGAGCCAGAGCATGACCATCGCAAACGCATGGGGCTCAAGGTGAAATGGCCGGGCGTGGGAGAGGGGCTGGGAAATGGGCTGGGGTCCTTTCTGCCTCCTCCTCCTGAGCCTGCCTCATCCCCAGATGTTGATGATGATGGGCTTGCTATTGCCTCTGGTCTATGCCATGAAGCGGCATAAGTGGTCAGTCCTGAAGAGCCGGAAGCTGGCATATCGGCCACCCAAGTGACCCTGCCCAACGTCTGCTTGCCGTCTTGCCTGAACAGGCCTGCAAGCCAAGGAGCCACCCTGGACCTGTTCAGGCCTCAGCTGGCCCGCTTGGCCAAGCTCCTCTTTCTTCGGGACAAGAGGGAAAGGGGCAAGAGACCAGGTTCTAGCTCCAGATCCTTCAGCCCCCATCATGGAAATAAATTAAGTTTCTCAACACACGTTTGAGCTATCGTGTGATGGGAGCACACGTTTGCAGGGGACTCTGGGACTAAGACCTTTGCTCTCGAGCTCTCAGGGTTGTCCCATGCAGTGTGACCGACACTGCCGTGTACAGGCTGGGGACTGGGAGGTGGCAGGCAGCACTGGAGGTGGGGAAGGGAGGCAGCCGGCAGCGGTGCTAAGGAGGCAGAGCTAGGCAGAGGCCACCCAGAGTGCGCTCCTGATCTCTTGGCTGGACAACTGGAGGGGGCAGGGTAGAGGTGTTCTGGGACAGCACCTTCTGGCAACCCACAGGGCGGCTGGGGTGAGTCTGGGTCAGACAAACGAGGCAAGCGGTAGGAGCAGGCTGTGAGGGCAAGGGGAGGGTGGCGGTGGCAGCACTCGGGTCCTAGCTTCCCCAGGAGGGAACGGGAGGAGGATCCTGGCTGGAACAGCCTAAGACTGGTGGCCACTGGGAAGGGCAAGAGCCAGGTGGAAGCAAGGAGAGGGTGTGCCTGAGGGTTTCCGGGTGGACAGCAGGAGGCATGGCCAGGTGTTAGGGAGGGGGCTCTGTGTGCCCTTGGGTTCTGGGAAGAGATCTCAGCCCCATGTGTTTCCGGGATCTCTGGGATCTGGAGGCTAAGTATAGTCACCTGGGCCTGGTTGGGTTGTCCCACCAGCTGACGACCAGGCCCTGCCTCTGCCAAGTTGAGTCCCAAGGGGGCGATGCCCACACTCCGTCCTCCCAGCAGATCGATCCGCACAAAGGCACAGGGAAGGGGTACTCAGCCGGCTCAGAAGTGCCTTTAATGACTCCTGATTGTGGCCCCTCCACAACCCTGGCTTGACCCCTAGCAAGCAGTCAGCAAAGGTCTCCTGAGAGTTTTAGGAGGGGGTCCAGGGACCTTGAGCCTGGAGGGACAGGGCCATCCTCTCTCCTTGTGACCTGGGGGTGAGGGAAAGATAAGTCATTCTGCTTGTCCTATCCCCCTGCCCATCCCCCTCCCTTCCTCGGCCTCTGGTACCTTTGCCAGCGGGGTGGAAACTGCAGGAAGGGGGTCCCAAGTGCAGGGCTTCTGGGTGCTGCACATCTCACAGCCGGGTCGGCTGGAAGCATTGATGAACGTGCAGGAAGGGCAGGACCAGCCAGGCTGTGGAGGTGGGGAAATCGTTGCTGCTTACCCTTTCCTTCTGGTGCCCAGAGAATCCCAGGCCCAGGGTGCCCAGTCCCTCACCTACCTGAAGGGGGCTGGGGAGGCTGGAGGTGGCTGGCAGAGGAGCTCTGGGCTGCCCCAGTGACTGAGGAAACAGGCGACTTAGTTCCCCATCCATCTTCTGGGGACGCTGAGGGCTGCGTCCTGTGGAAGGGGAGGTGGGGCTCAGGGGCGTGTCGGGCTGCGCCTCCCCTCCTCATCCCATCCACACCAAGGACTGACCTGGGGCTTCTCGCGGGGCTGAGAGCAGGTAGAGGAAAGCGGGGTCCCCATCCCGCTGGACCCCGTAGGAAGCGAGGCTGCACTCGGGCACACAGAGGCGCCGCCCAATGACCCAGCGCTGCACAGCTGGTGGGAAGCCAAACTCCGAGAACACCTGGGGCCGGAGCATCAAGGCAGCGTCACTCGAAGGCCCCTTGCCCCGCACAGGGCTCCCCCCGACCCCATGCTTACCTGCTCCTGGAGGGTCGCAATGGTGCAGTGGGGGTGAACGTGCAGTGAGACGTGGGCAGAGGACGCGGCGTCCTCAACTGTCACCTGTAGCCTGGGCCAGAGTATAGGTCAGGAGGGAGGACGGGGACCCGGGAGGGCTAGGGATGGCAGGGTAAAGAAGACCTCACCTGATGGGGCCAGGAGGGAAGCAGGCCTCCTGGAGCTGGACACTCAGAGCCACATGGTGTCGGGCCAGGGTGGCCGCTGCTTGGGCTGCCCCCTTCTCGTCCCCACCCTCGATGGCTTGGGCCAGGCGCCCCACCAGCTCTTCTGCAGGGAGAGACAAAAAGCCATCAGGGCTGAGCACAGACTGCTGCTTCCAACCCCCTCCAGCCACCTGCCTTTACCTTTCTCCGTCAAGTCTCCAGGGCTCCAGCAAAGATCCACCTTGGGTTGTGGGGCCCGGAGTGTGGGCACTCCAGGGGGACTGGGCGGGGAAACAGGGCACGTTTCTAGGCCCAGGGCTTGGGGCAGGCTGCCTAGGAGGGAAGATGAGGGCTGGGCTGGGGTCTCCTGTGACTCGGCCCCCCAAGCCGAGTTACTCACCCAGGCCTCTGCTGACCAGGTTTCCGGGACTTTTGCCACCTCCTAGCTCACAGCCCATTCCCTGGCGTTTGGCCACACATTAAGCCAGGCCTCCCCCCACCCAATCCTGGCCCTCAAAAACCCCGAAAAGGTTCCTACCAACTCCTCTCAGAGCTGAAGCTGCACTTGGCTTTTCCTTGCTCTGGAATGCTTCTGCATGCTTCTACTGTCTAGCCTCACCTATGCCCCTCCTCCAAAGAAGCCAGGCCACTTCCCTTGGCCTCTACATGCCCTCTAAGCCAGCCAGGGATGCTCCCTTGGCCTCACTGCGGAACCAAAACAGGTCCTCAGAAGCCTGCCCCTTCTTGCTCACCAGGAGGCCTGCAATCAGGTAGTCTCTTGGTGCGCTCAGGGACACCCCTCCTCTCAACTGGCTCTACCACCAGCACAGAACACCTCGGGCTGCTCCCATCCCCAGAAAACCCCCTGGGCCACTGCCTGGCGGGGCACCTGTGTCTCCCCTTACCTTCCTCCTGAGGCCCAGCCTACCTGTCCTGCAGCTCCTGTGACGACCTCAGGCCCTCAGTGTTCTGAGCTATCTGCCCACTGTGATGAACAGGACCCCTGAGCACCCGGGACCAGGCCTGGCCCAGCCTTGACCTAGTCCCAAAGATCACACACACATACACACACAACACACACACTTGCCTCGGGACTTTGGTGCCTGCTGCTTCCTGGCCACGTGGGTGTGATCACACGAGGACCTTCGAGTTTCATTCAACCATCACCTTAATAAGACTTTCCCTGCCACCCAATTTTAAATTGCAAACCCCTCCCGGGGCACCTGGGTGGCTCTGTTGGTTAAGCATCTGACTCTCGATTTCGGCTCAGGACACAATCTCACAGGTTCACGAGTTTGATCCCTGTGTTGGGCTCTGTGCTAACAGTGTGGAGCCTGCTTGGGATTCTGTCTTTCTCTCTCTCAAATAAATAAACTTAAAAAAAAAAAAAAAAAAGATGTGTGTAAACTGCAAACTCCTCTCTTCTATTCTTCCACCATCTGGCAGAATTTTACTTGTTTTCCAACTTAAGTGTTTTGACGCACAAGGTTACACTAGTACCAAGTATACATAGCGATTCCAGAAGCCTGTATGCTATGCTGTGTGCGCCACAAGTCTATGCTTACCAATGTTATATGTTCTCCTCTCTGGAAATTCAAGTCCCGAGAGGGCAGGAAGTCCAAGTCTCATTCATGCTAAGTCTCCAAGGCCTAACATGCTCAGCACAGAGCGGGTGCCAGGATGCACATCTGATGAACGAACGAACGAACGAAGGACGTCT